ACAAAAACGAGTTTTGTACTCCGTATAATCTAATTTCGGATAAAATGACTGCCTAGTTAACCGACTCAAACCCAATGTTTACAAAAATGTAGAAATGACTTTTTGAAAAGTTACGTAGAAATGGACAATTTCATTTGAATTCTAAATACATAATGAGTAGTGCCAACTGCCAAGTTCAAAACGCGTAATGTAAAGGTAATGAAAACGATACATTTTAATTTCTGTTTTATTTTTACATCTCTATGACTATGTAATAGGAGAAGTAAAATTTTAAGCTACGAATAAATACTCCCATGAATCTATCCCAATATTAACTATTGCAAATAGAATATAAAAGGTGAATCAATGCAAAAATTTGAAATTTAAAGGGGCGTAATGTATAAGGATTTACTGATTTAGTCCAAATTTTCAAAAATTGATGAATTTTAAAAGTTTAGGTGTATTCAATATAGATTTTTAAAAGTCTAAAAAATATAAGATAGTATAATGTAAACTTTTAAAACTATAAAAGTATACACGTTTTCAAACGTTTGTTCATTCCTATTAACTTCTAAAATTAGGAATTCTTTGAACTTATAATTATTAGTGCACTAAATTCTTTGCAATTCTCTCATTTTCTCACCAAAGATTTACTTTTTTGTTATCTTTTACTCGTCACAAGTACACATAGGTTTGATTACAGAATAACACTAAATTTGAATAATTATTTATCCGGGATCATAATCCGGCCTCAAGTCCTACAGTAGTACCGACCGAGTCGGGAGGTGGGTACTAGGATGGTTTCAATATGCAAGATTTGAAAATTAAATTTTGATTTTTATCACATTACAATAAACAAAGTTTAACAAAGAGATTCTACATCAATACTGTTACACAAGATAAACTTAAAAAAGTGATTTTTATATACCGTCTTACGAAGAAAAATGTAGGAGTGAGATTGGTTAAGTTCTTGAAAGAAAATTAGAAACCATTTGAAGAACTGTCAATCCAATATCGATTCGGTTCTAAAAGTTCTTAGAAGAACCGATATAAGAATCGATAATATTATGGGGTTTGTCCATAGATAATACTAAAACAAGTCCTATGGACAAATATAGGACCACTTTTAAAAAATTCCAAAAAAGATACTAAATTACTACAATTGATCATGACCGACCACACTAGTGACCAAACTAACCGTGACCAAACCGACCGTGACCAAACCGACCGTGACCAATCCGACCGTGACCAATCCGACCGTGACCAAACCGACCGTGACCAAACCGACTGTGACCAAACCGTCCGTGACCAAACCGTCCGTGACCAATCTGACCGTGACGAATCCGACCGTGACCAATCCGACCGTGACCAACCCAAGTAATGACCATGACCACTTCCACACCAACGCCGCCACGCCGCCACCATCTCCGACCACTGCCGCCCCCCGACCACTGCCGCCCCCGACCACTGCCGCCCCCGAAGGGGATCGCCGCCACCACCCATCACCAACCAGCCCCCTCCCCAGCCCCCCCCCCACCAGGCCCCAGGCCCCTACAAGACCCTCCCCCAGCCCTCAGCGCCCCACCAGCACCCTCCCCCAACCTCCAGCAACGAACGACCCCTCTCCACCGCCCTCACCAGGACCCCTGCAGCCCTCCAGCACCTTCCCCCATCCCCCTTCAACCCCTGCAGCCCTCCAGCACCTTCCCCCAGCCCCCTTCAACCCCTGAAGCCAACAACCCCCATCGAGCACCATACCCAAGCAACCAGTGGCCCCCCAACCCCCCTCAAGCACCCTTCCCAAGCCCCCAACAGCCCCTTCCCCTCAAGCACCCTTCCCCAGACCCCAACCCCTTCCCAACCAGCCCCCTTTTCACTCTCCTCCTCAAATTCTCAGCTTCCTCCCCAAATCCTCGGATCGTGCACAATAGATTTGTCCCGAGGTCGCCAAAGTCATAATCGACACTTAGATTTGGTCCATCTCATTATCGAATGGATGAATATAGCAGATCCAAGACGAAGCTCACCGCTGTGAACTCCGGCGTCTCTGGCCGTCAACGTTGCTGGCGGTCGCGTCGATGGTGGTCGTCGGCTCCGGCATCGATGGTGTTGGTCATCTCTGGTGTCGAAGTCTCCAATCTCCATTGTTGCCAGCTACATCGTCGTCTGTTGCGGAAGGGGAAGTGGTCGTAGGTCTCTTGCTTTAGTCCGTCCGAATCTTAAGTCCCTTTTTTGTCCATTTAAAAATTGGTTCTACTTTTGGAAAGTGAAAAGTCCAGGATATCATTTTAGTCTTTATTTCTAATATTATATCAGTGTAATTCTGGATGTTGTCAGTTAATCATTAAATAAAAAAATTTAATTGTTAATGTGTTTCATCGTTAAATCGCTAATACATAAAAATATAATTTCAAACTCATAAATATTGAACCGTAAATAAGTAAAAAACAACAAGCTAAAAATGAAAATAAAATAATTATTAAGAAGATATTCTCGAATGCACCTATGATTGTAACACATGTGACACTAAGTGTAACGATTATTGTTCTTACTCATTATATTGAATTGTGATATATAATAATTGATCATAAAGAGACCGAGTTTGTTGAGTTTTCTCGAAACTTTGAGTTTTTTATTAATAAAAATAAATTAACAAGCTTATGCTTCATGTATTCTTGTACAACTCTGCGTGGCTAGATGTACTTTATTTGTTTTATTTGTTATATTTAATTGTTTCTATGGTGACGAGGCGGATGGAGGTAAGATTAAGGCATATCAGTAGCAGTGATTTGGGTAAAAATTTCGACGGCCAGCAGCAACAACAGTTCGGAATTAAAAGTTTAAAAGTGTACGAATTTTTTGAAAGTCTATAAACCTATCCATGAATTTAGAAGTTAACGAAAAACTGTTTATAGAGATAGTTAACGAAAAACTGTTTCGAAGCCCTCTCCACTACAACGAGAGTAGGGAGATCCACGAGTTGCCATATTAGTCGTAATCAGAGAAGATAAAGCCTAAACAAATTATTGTTGAATTTCAAATTCTAGATGGATAAGTTTTTCATGAAAATCGTTGAATGAGGTGCAGATTTCAGCAACTTACAAAGGCATCAATGACACACCACACACATGTAGATATTAATTGAGAACATTAAGGAATGATTTCAATCAAACCTTCGTGATCAAAGTGGTGTTTCAAGCAGCGCAAGTTCATCCCGAGTTGTGTTTCAGAATTTGCACAAATATTAGCTTGTGTTGCTTGACATGAATAAGATGAATAAGAGCACCCAAAAGGAGTTTGTCTCGATGAATGTAGGTAAAGTGAACAACAAGCGAGATCATAATATTATAGAGTTGTGCTAGGTGTAAATACTTTGGTTAACACGACCTTTCGTACATTTGTCTGTCTCACGCACGCAAATTTGTCTGTCCACAGACAACTCTACTGAATTGTCTGTGGACAGACAATTCTGTCTCCGTGAGACAAACGAATGTACAAAAAATGCACACAAAAATGTGTACATCAAGCATTTTTCAATTATGTGGTGATTGTGGCAGAAGGATATATATGAAATAGATCCGTCAATGAAACCAGCAAGATTAGTACTGGTGACTCGATGAGAATGGATAGACATTGAAGTGTTGCGTACTTTGTTGGGGAAAGTCTTGCAACACACCCAAACTAATGAGAAGAAGTGGTTTGAAAAACGCAAATATGTTTGGGATGTGAAATTGATATTAAATATTGTCAAATGAGATTTTAAGAACATTAGAAGGAATATGAGGAAACAACATTAGTTTTGAAGAACAAAATTTTTGATTGTTCATTTTGATAAGATTGTTAAAATTTGAGGTTCAATCGCAAAAGGTCAACCTCATAGGAGAAGTAATTATCTTAATATCGCACTTTATTACTTCTTAATTTACTAGTGTGAGACTTTAACACTATTATTCACGACTAGACACTTCGTCTGGATCGTGCCATCATTTATTTTTGTCATTATTCTATTTATTCTTTTTTTTTGTTATCGTGTAGTCATTTTTCATAAGAAGCTCACACCATGGTTATGGATCAATTTTGGTTCTAATACCATGTTAAGATTTGGTTCCATCTTAAAAGGTCAACATGATTTGAAGAGTAATCCAAATCTTAATATAGCACTTTATTACATTTTAATTTACCGGTATTGGATTTAATCAATGGCGAATAATTTTTAGTTTATTGTTCTTTATGTTGATCAATTTTGATACAAACTTTAACCATAAGAATTACTCCCTCCGTCCCGCTAAGTTTGTCCCAGACACTATTCACTTGGTCAACACAAAACATTCTTATTTTTTTTACATTATATATCAATTTTTTTTAATCAAATTTGATTCAGGTTTTGTGACTTTGTAAAGTTTTTAATGTAGTTTTTGAATACTTAAAAAAAATATTCTAAAAATAATTTGAGAGCGAACATGGATATGTTTGTTTTATGATCGGTCAAGCATGGTAAATTGAATTGTCCCAATCTTCGTGTAGCTGCTAAGGGGATTCGAAGAAGCTATTTCCGAATGTTTGTTCAATTCATTACTTGTCTAAATTTAATATACCCTACATTTGCTATGTGTTACTGAATATAGATTTGTTTTCAATTAATAATCACAATAAAAACATAACATCTTATAAAGTATATGCTGTTATACTAATAATATGAGTGAAAGTGTTTATACGTACTCCGTATTTCATTTTTTAGTAACATCATATTCATATTTAATATCCATCTAATTTAATATACATTTTATATTTTGTAAAAAATTGTACATTTTAAAATAATAATTTTATTTCTTTGTTGACCGAGTTTTTTGGCGTTGACCAGGTTAACCCACCGGTTCCGAGCTGACCTGTGACCCGATCGTTCGGCCGGGTCGCTTCCCAGTCCGGTTTTTACAACATAGGACGGAGGGAGTATTTTTTTTAATTTTAATCCAAAGTTAAGCTCAGATTGCTCAGTAGTATGCAGAATGCAGTTGAAGGATGGAACATTAGAGAAGTTGGTCTATTAATCCCGCAACATACTTGGGATAAGACATAAATGGATCATTAACATAAGCAAAATCCACACAGCGGCGCACATTAGCATCTTCCGGCAAGTCTTCCTTCTGCGTAGACCAGAGTGCACGTGGCCTGCTATGATTCGCTCACGCAAGCAACACCGTACCATCCTCCGTCGCTTTATCGCCGCCGGGCCCGCCATAACCACACCTCAACTCAGCAAGCTCACACTGCAATAATATCCCATCCCTTGATTGATTCCTAGGGTTTTCCGTTTCTCTCCCTCAATCTGCCCTTCACCCACCGTGACCTTATCTCCTCCGCGTCGATGAGTTCGATCGCCGATCCCGGCGAGGTCACTCAGGCGTCGCCGCCGCCGAGTTTCGACGACTTTCAGCGCCAGACCTCTCTGATGACCAGCTGCACTCTCCTCTGGAAAGAGCTCTCCGATCATTTCACTTCCCTGGAGCAGGATCTGTTGAAGAAATCTGAAGCCCTCAAATCCAAGCTCCAAACCCTTGACGACCAGACCAAGCAGTCCCTCGAGGTTCTCGAGAAGCGCGAGACGTCAATCGCCGCTTCCATCTCCATCGCTCTCCAGAAAGTGGACGAGAGCAGGAAGGCTGCGCTCGTCCAGGTCGGGAACTCCGCGAAATCAGGGGACGACGATGCCTCTGAGCTGCAGCCGGAGGTTGATAATTCCGCTGGTCTGCTTCTGAAGCTGAGGTCCTATTGTGTTCAGATGGATTCGAGAAGCTTCTGGAGCTTCGTGAATCTTCGGAAGAAGGAGCTGGAGTCTCTGAGGGTGGAGATCCCGAAAGCCTTGGCGGAGTGTGTGGACCCACCGAAGTTCGTTTTGGAAGCCATATCTGAGGTGTTTCCAGTGGACAAGCGTGAGCTGAAGAGCGAGAGGTGCAATGATTTGGGCTGGGCCTGCGTTCTTCTTCTGGAGTCATTGATCCCGGTGATGATGGATCCGGTGCTCGGGCCTGACAGGATGCTGGTGACGCCCAGCGTGAGGGAGAGGGCGAATGAAATTGCAGAGACATGGAAGAAGAGCTTGGATGAGAGAGGAGGGATTGAGAATGTGAAAACCCCTGATGTCCATACTTTCCTGCAACATCTTGTGACGTTTGGGGTTGTGAAGGGGGAGGATGTTGATCTGTACAGAAAGCTTGTTGTTGGGTCTGCTTGGAGGAAACATATGCCTAAGCTTGCACTCTCTCTCGGCCTTCGAGATAAAATGCCAGGTATATTTTCATAGTTATTCATGTTTGTTTTCCGTTAAGTCATTCCCACATTGACCCATTGAAGAAAAAACTACAATTATACTCATGGTTGTTTTTTTAAGATGAAAAGTTTAAGTTATGATGAAGAATTAATACTCTTTTGGGGTTTTCTGTGCGTGAATATGAAAATATATAAGAACTGAGGTTATCATTTTGTAGGAAACTTGGAGGAATTTGTGGTCTACTTATTCAGTGTTTAAAATTCAAGTTTGAGTTAACTTTTACTGGATAATGAAGCTGTGGAAATAGATCTTTGGTTTTTATGTGAAACTATAGCCCAGTTTGGCAGCCGGTTTTGTCATTACAGCTTACTACTTCTGTGTTGCCTGTAGGAAGAATAAGGAGCTTTTCACTTACTTATTTGAATGAAGTATATGTTATCAAATGCTTTTCCTTTCCAAAAATTCAGCAGATTTGGCCAAATAACCCTTACCAAACATGCTCACCAAACTTTTTTACTTATATATTTGATTGAACAAATTTGCTTTTCTTCATGAGGAATCTTAGTGCTGGTGTTCTTTGTTTTGTTTGCATGGGCAGAGCTGATTGAGGAGTTAATTAGTAGAGGACAACAGGTTGATGCTGTGCATTTCACTTATGAAGTTGGCCTCATCTACAAGTTTCCTCCGGTTCCTCTTCTTAAAGCATTTCTTAAGGATGCCAAAAAAGCTGCAACTGCCATTCTTGAGGATCCTAACAATTCTGGTCGAGCTGCGGTATCTTGCCTTCTTTATTCTTCTCTAATAGTCTATGATATTTATGGGAACTAATTCGTATTCATGGTTGATACCTTGATATTATCACGAAGGCACTTCTGATTTCTTTATAGACTGCTATTCCTTTTTGCATAAATCATAAAAACTACATACGTAGTATATACCAACACCATTTACAATTTTGAAGGGGCATACCCTAGTAAACAACAAGATTCTTGATCCTCAGAGGGTTGTAAGGTTTCCAGTTGTGGTCCTCAGACTTAAAAATAAACCATCTTGACCTTGAGGGAATTGATTTTGTAATGCTTTGAGTCGTAAATTTGGGGTGTGAAAGGACCAAAAGTAATGCAAAATTAATACTCAAGGGTCAAATATGGTTGATTTTAAATTTAATTATCACAAGTAGTAAACCTGCAATAACTTGCAGTAAAAACATGGTACTCCCTTCCTCGTGTAATTTGCCAACAAAAAGTTTCAACCAAGTCAAAATATGATGATACATTTAGCAGCTGTTTCTTTCCAAAATTTAAAGATTGTACCTCTCAGTTAAACATGACCTTTTTAGTAAGTAGTCATTTTGCTTCCACTCATCTGCATATCTGCGAAGGTTAAGTCTTGATTACCTGTAAATGTGTCTGCGATTTTATATATCTGCCATGATGCTGTTTGAATGAATGCGTATCGATAATAGGCAGTAAAACTATATAATGATGTTTGATTTAACATCACCACAGTACTTTGAGGATAAACATGGTACTAATCCCTGCTGCTTTCACTCACCTGCCTATTTCTGTTAACTGTTTTTTATGTTTTGTCTGTTTTCTTGAATGCTTATAGACTGCAAAATCCATCCCTGCATAGTTGTTATGCTGCCCCTGTCTGTGATGTTATTCCTGAATATACCTTGTCCAATCTCACCTATAATCTGCCTAGTGCCCACCCATCATTACTAAAACTCAACTTTACTGTCTGATGTGTGATAGCTAACCCAATGAACAATAATAGTGGGTAGGATGTTGCGGTGTAAATGGATTATTTTTAGTTTCACATCCAGTTCACTTCTCTAATACACTGTTCTTAATCATTAATTTTTGCAATATAAACAGCATCTATCTGCAAAGAAAGAGCTATCTGCAATCCGAGCAGTTCTCAAGTGCATTGAAGAATACAAGCTTGAATCTGAATTCCCACCAGAACATCTCAAAAAGCGTCTTGAACAGCTGGAGAAGACGAAGACCGAGAAGAAGAAGCCGGCCCCTGCCGCCGCCCCTGCTGCCAAGCGTACGAGGGTCAGTAACACCGGTGGGCCCATGCCTCCTGCCAAGGCTGGCCGCTCAAGCAATGCTTACGTTTCATCTTTCCCGCCAGCCCCAACATTTGTGAGGTCACCCTCCCACACTCAGTACCCTACAGCGCTCCCAGCTTACCCTGCATCGCCAATATATGGGCATGGAAGCTTGAGTCCCTCATATTGTTACTCTCCCGAGGTGTCTTCTCCTTATTCAGGTAGCCCATACTCACCATACGGAAGCTATGGCAATGGAATGGCCCCACCACTACCGGCTTACCAGCAAGCATACTACTGAAGAGATATAACAGATGACTGGCTGAAGAGATATGATGACTGAAACTGAATTTTCTTCTCTGAAGTGATATGTAATCACTAATCTCTAAACTGTAGTTCTATCTGTGTGTTAATCGTTAATCTGAACACTTGTCCTTTGCAGGCTGTAGTACCACTGTACTTGTGATGTTGATCAAACTTAATAGTATTAGGGTGTGTGAAAATTAATTTTAGTAATATGCTTAACATATGCTTTACACAATTTTTTAGTTTGTTACATCTTTTGATGATTGGCAAGCTTTTGGAATACGGACCAACATTTACCCATCAAGGGAAGAACAAAACTGGACATGCTTCTCGACTCAATCGCAGCAGCCCGTTAGGATTGAATTTGGTTGTCTAATTATGGATTTATGGTATAATAATGATATCATCTATTCTGTGTACAACATAATTTGACAAAAGAATATAATCCTATACATACTCATCAAATAAGAACGCTAATCATGGTTCTCAAAGGTTATTAGGTTGGAGCGGGTAGCGGGTTTGAAATCAAGCAAAAGTTCAAAACTTCAAATTCTTCTTAAGAATAGAACTAGACTGAAAAACTTCTACAATCACCCAAAAATGGCAAAATACATACTCCGTATTTTTGTATTTAATTAGTTATAACGGTCTGCTTTATTATTTTTATATACGATATGATATCATTTAGTTGAATATAGTACTTTTGTATGTGTGCGTACGATATCCTACTATTTGTTCAGACAACACAACATTTATAAAAGGGAGTCAATTCACATGAAAGTGAGTTCGGGAGTTACTCTCAGTCTCTCACAGTGGGAAGTCTCCTTGTGTGCAACGTTCTATGAGTGCAAATCTGAAATCACATACGTCATTGGTGTAATTCCTCAACATACTCATCAAACAAGAGTGTGGGTTGAAACTTCAAGAGTGAGAGATTTCACATTTTGAAGAAAATATTAGAGTGTTCTGTTAAAGAATCGTGACATTAAATGCATTTCATAAAAAAACATAGTAATTGATACGGAGTATACCCTTTTTATATAAGAGAAAACAGACAAATAAGCCCTCGAACTATTTGCGTTTTTGCAATGAGGCCCCTGAACCGGAAGAATTACAAATACGCACCTCAACTCATTGAAAATCAAGCAATCAGGTCCTTTTTTACCCGCTGGTGTCGGTAGTTGCTCATCTCCTTACCTGCACCAGGAGGTAAAAAATGACCTGATTGCTGGATTTTCAATGAGTTGAGGGGTGTATTTGTAATTCTTCTGGTTCAGGGGCCTCATTGCAAAAACGCAAATAGTTCGAGAGCTTATTTGCCTGTTTTCTCTTTATATAATTATCATATGCAAGAAATGATCTGATGATAAGAAGTGTTGTCTATGTTCATTTGTCTATGTTGCCTGTTTTCTTTTTATAACTCTTTGAATGAGTTCATTTTTTTGAAGTTTTGAACAATCTTTTTTTAAAACATTACAAAATAGAAATAAACTAAAATGCGTATGGAGTGAAATGAGGTTTATGTTTTGAAAAGCGAACTTCGTAAGCACATCACTACAACTAAGGCAAGGTTAAGAGAATGACAACCATATAGAGTATAAAAAGTTCTAGGATATTTTCGTAGGACTCTCTACCTTGTACACCTTGTTAATTACTTATGTCCTTTCATGTTTGAGTGCATGATCGTAACCTTGTCCTCTTATAGTGCTAAAATCAAGCTCATGAGTCTCAAAATGTTTTTTAAGTTCATGAAAGAGAGTTTCATCAGTTGTCTTAACCATTTTCACATATGTAATAAAAAAAACTCTTTCACTTGAATCGGACTCGTAGACACATTTACACATCTTACCAAGAGTGTCATTTACTCCTAATGACTAACATTGAGTGTGCAAATAACATAGAAATTGCTCTTTCACTATTTGGAGGATCTTTTCTTTCCGTTTCATTTGATAAAATTGTATCTTCCCATTTTGAATGTTATACCCAAGATAATGATCTTGATTCTTGAATTTCTTTCTTGGGGAAAACTTTGGACCAAAAAATCTTACCTCACCAACACTGGCCATATGGCCAACCTTGACTTTCAACTTAAAACTAACACCAGTGAATTTCTCTCTTACGGAGCAAGAAAATATCAACAATTTTGAGCGCACGTAAAATTTGTATACATTTTGCACACATTTATATTTATACACAAACAATATTTTAATGAGATATATGTATACACAACAATTATGCATAAATGTGTATCAAATATGTACGGGTAAGTATTACGATTTACAAATTAAGTATAGTAGGCAAGGGAAAAAGATCAGGTCCGAACGTTCGGACAGGACCCTCCGTTCGAACATCCTCGTTTGGGGTCCTTTCCGGTGGAATTTTTTGATGAAATTTTTTGAGCATGTTCCACGTCAAGTCTAGTTTGTCCATACCAAATTTCAGTTCAAAATTTGATCGGGAAGACATTCAAATCATTTTTTGAAGTTGACTGCATTTTTATATGTAAATTTTGAGGCAGTCAACTTCAAAAAGTGATTTGAAGGCCTTCCCGATCGAATTTTGAGCTGAAATTTGGTATGGACAAACTAGACTTGATGAGGAACATGCTCAAAAAAGTTCATCAAAAAATTCCACCGGGAAGTGACCCAAACGCCCATGTTCGGACGGTGCTCAGACGGAGAATGTTCGGACCTGAACATTCCTCAGTAGGCAAGTATATTTATATCGATTCCACCAGACAATTATGTACAAACGTGTGTTAAATACTTCGTATGTATCAATAGGTATCAATTATGTACTAATGTATCTCAAATACTCCCTCCGCCCCGGAAACAAGTTCCCGGATTGACTTTCACACATTTTAAGTAAATAAAGTTATTGAGAGATAAATTTTACTATTTTGACATTGTTTGACACTGTTTTGCACTGTTTGACATTTTTTTGATGTAGATAATTTGCTAAATAAGCAAAATATAAGTATGTACGTGTACAAAATAAGTATTGTCAGCAAGTATATCTATATTGACCCGATCAGTTTCTGAAGTTTCGCCTCCATCGTTGTTCTTCAGTAATCTCCACCCTTACGCAGGGAAAAAGTCCCTCAAAAGCTCGTATCACCTCTCATCCGCCACGCGATTCCTCTTCAGGTTTGGCACTTCCGTGCATCATAGCGAGGGGTGTGTGTGTAGATGCATATTTGAGCTTCTTAACGGTTACTTCGTTTTGTTTTGCAGAATCTAATCTGAAAAGTATGGGAGAGGAAAACCACGGGATTGCCAAGGATGTTACTGAAGTAAGTTTTTATTCCCTTGAAATTATTTAGCCGTGCTATAAGAATTACTTTGACTAAAATCAGACTCTCGCTTTGTATATAGTATCTGATTTCAGCACTTTGTATCTACAGTTGATTGGAAAAACACCCCTGGTGTACCTGAACAAAATCGTTGATGGATGCGTTGCTCGTGTTGCAGCCAAGCTGGAAATGATGGAGCCATGCTCCAGTGTTAAGGACAGGTGACTGCTTTGATTTTAACTCCTTTGGATTTCTTTGGTAGTTAGAATGTTGAAATTCTGGAAAGTGGATTGCTTTACTGTAAATTCAATGTTATTGAAAATTTACATATATATCATGTTTGCACTTTGCAACGGCCCTATTCCCTGAATCACAGGCCAATCAAATCACGGGCCGAGTAGATTATTACAGGGTTTACAGGTTTCATGGTTTATTTACTATTGTTCTCTATAGTTCGTACTCTTTGTACCTATGGTTAGTACCATTTGGTGCTTAAATGACATTTTATGTTTTTGTGTGAGTAGGATTGGGTATAGTATGATTACAGATGCTGAGGAGAAAGGCCTTATTAAACCGGGAGAGGTGAGTGATCAATATCCCATGAGTTTATTTGTCTTCTTAGCGCAGTTTGGATGTAGACTTTTCGAGGGGATTATTTTGGAAGGCTAAGTCTAATCTTGATATAATATTCTTATCAACATTTATTTATTCAAAGAAATATTCTTTTATCAAGATATAGGGCATGTTTGGCACTATTGGAAAGATACTTTTATGAGGTTTTTAGTAAATGATAGCTTTAAGGGACCGAGAAGATCACAAAAGAAAAAGGTTGTAAGTGTTCGATAAAAGCTGACGATAGGTATAAAAAGCTGTTGTGATTAATTAATGCTAAAAGATCTCAAGTCCAGTGTAGTTTCTTTTTTTTTTTTACTTTTAAAATTTGTTGTGCCTAACATACAAGTAATAACCTTTAGAGATTTTTTAATACTACAAAAGCTAGAAGGTAGGCACATATGCCTACCAAACATGCACATAGACCAAGTCCTCGGAATGCTCAAATTCCTTCCCATGTTCCCCTCCAAACCCTTCACCCAAACTGGCACTTGTTTTTTTATACTACGTACTAGTATATCGTAATTCATTATGACCCTATTTTCCTAACGGAATTGTTCTTTTTTGTTGAAGAGTGTCCTAATAGAACCTACAAGTGGTAACACTGGCATTGGCTTGGCTTTCATGGCAGCAGCTAAGGGATACAAACTTATCATCACCATGCCTGCTTCCATGAGCCTTGAGAGAAGAATTCTTCTCCGCGGTTTTGGGGCCGAATTGGTTCTCACTGATCCTGCTAAGGGCATGAAAGGTTCCATTCAAAAGGCTGAAGAAATACATGCCAAAACACCCAATTCTTACATTCTACAACAGTTTGAAAACCCAGCGAACCCAAAGGTTTGTTGCCTTTGACTTAAAAGGTGTATCAACGTGGTGATGGATTTCTATAGTTATCTTTCTTTTTATTATGTTAGATACATTATGAAACCACTGGGCCTGAAATCTGGAAAGGATCAAATGGTAAAGTTGATGCTTTCGTCTCTGGAATTGGTACAGGAGGCACTATTACTGGTGTGGGCAAGTTCCTTAGGGAGCAGAACCCAAACGTAAAGGTATGATTCAGGTTTTAGGGTATGTTTGGATCCAGATAAAATATCTCAAAAAGGAAAGAAACTGTTAAGAAAAATTCATTTGTTATGTTTGTTTTACCTTTCGAAATGCCAAAGAAAAATGAAATTCAACAAATTCTTTTCAAATTCTACCTATATTAGATTTTATTGGTGTACTTAGAAATGATAGACATAGATTAAATAAGTACAAACAATATGTAAAATAGAACTATTGAGTTTTGGAATAGCTTTTAATCACACTTCTTCCTTCAAAACTTTTTCTACGATTTTTTGTAACTATTTCGTTTCTATTGTATTTTCCAAGTTCCAAATGGATCATTATATTCATGTTGGATCTTATTTACATAGAAACAATGTATTTTTTTTGTGCTGACTTTATATTTTTTATTTCTCATTTGTGTTTTTAGCTGTATGGAGTTGAACCTGTTGAGAGCCCTGTTCTCAGCGGAGGAAAGCCTGGTGAGTTATGTTTCTGTTGCTGATTATGTCTCTTTTTTCATTGCCCCTTTCCACTATTATGCTATGTTGTTGATTAAAGAGTATGTACAAGATGAAATTACGTAAATTGTATGGGGTTTAAAACTTAAAAGATTATATTGTTGTGGTTTTTTTACTTGGTGCACTACAGGTCCACACAAGATCCAGGGTATTGGCGCTGGTTTTGTCCCCGGGGTCTTGGATGCCGATCTTATCGATGAAGTAATTCAAGTAAGAAGTGGTGATGTTTTGTTATGTTGTGAGCAATTTTGTTAAATTTGGCCCAACTCTCTGTAAAAGATCATCCATATTTGAGGCTTACTTTGCATATATATAATAATTATATATTAGGCTCATACCTTGTGGACAATCCATGTGAATATTCAACACACCCCTAAGCCCAAGGAGTATGACTAAAGGGTTGGCAAATGAGCCCAAAGGAGGTTGACCCTAACTATTAACTAGATTGGTGCAACTAGACCTAGCTTTGATACCTTGTTAAATCGGGTCTAATTAACCCAAACATATCTTCAAAAAGTGAGGTTTACCTCATACATGTATGTTCCCCGATGTGGGATACTCATTGAATGTAGTGATCATGTTTCTCTAAAATAATTTAATTATTTGTGACTTTTACAACAAAACCAGATTTCGAGTGACGAAGCCATTGAAACTGCAAAGCAGCTTGCTACAAAAGAGGGATTGCTAGTAAGTTCTTCTCGTGTTCAAAGAAGTTGATTGTTTAAGAGGGAAAAAATCCTTCATCATTTTTTCCTCCAACTTCACCCTATTTCAAGATGGTTTGAAGATGAAAACATGTACTGCAGGTGGGTATATCATCAGGTGCAGCTGCTGCTGCTGCAATTCGAGTTGCAAAGAGGCCTGAGAATGCTGGGAAACTCATTGTTGTATGTGTTACCTTTTTTCCTTCACCGCTTAATGAATGACTTAAGCTGCTCAGATTAGAGTGAACATACTATTGCATTAGCTCATCTCCTACACAAAGCTCCATACTTGGTGCAATTACATATCAAAATGGTGCACAACTTGGGTGACAGCTACCTTAGTGACAATCTTACACTTGTTTATCAACTTTGAAGAAATACATGCCAAAACACCCAATTCTTACACTTGTTGCTTAAATTCTAATTACACTAAGAAACCGCTCTGCACCTCAATGTGTGATGTCTTGACATGTAAATGTTTTGCCCTTTTAAACAGCATTGCAACAACTATTCTAAAGCCGAAAATATGAGATTCAGCTACTAAACTTGTTTTTTTTGCCATATCTGTGCAGGTCATTTTCCCGAGCTTTGGAGAGCGTTATCTTTCTTCTGTTCTCTTTGAGTCCGTCAGGCATGAAGCAGAGAATATGACCTTCGAGTCCTGAAGGAATTTGTTTAATGTCACTTGGTCGGTCTACACTCATTGACTATGACATTTTATTGAGTTTGCATATTGTGTACTTTCTAGAGCACGTCCTTAGTTATGTTTACTGCTTGTATGGAATGTTTGGAATAAAAGTTATGCTTTATTATTGGCTTAACAAATACTCCGTAGTAATTTTGGCAGTAGAATGTCCTCAGTGTAGTCTACTTGCTCGTTAGAGTTCGATTATAAATTTAAATAAGACAGCCGTGTCATTATAGACAAGCGGCAAATTTGGCATAGAGATGCTAATGGAAAAAATTGCTGCATCTGAAAAAATATAAACAAAGAAAAGGAACACAAGTAGAGTATTTCTGACAGATTTTTTTTTCAGAAGTGGGTGTGTAATCCAACTTCGAATATTTGGGTGTTGGCGTGTTGTGGAAAGGTGTTCTTGAGTAAGAAATTAAAGAACTAAATAGTGACTTTACATCGTTGTTGAAATAATAGTGGTTACTGTTTGAAAAAATGGTTTTACCATGATATAATGGTCACTTTTGACCAAAAATAAATGAAGGATCCACAATTCTTTATAGTACATATATTAGAGCGTACAAAACCATTTAGAAATGAATGAGAAATTACTTGCCTAAAACTCAATTTCGGAAAGAACTTTGTCCCACCGAAAATGGAGATTTAAGGAAGAGTCTTTTTATCATCTTTCCTTAGCTATTGGGGTTGGTCCTTGGGACACAGAAGTTTTGTTGTGCAGTGAGACCTATATGTCGCCCGGCCAGGTCGGGTTGGGTTTGGGTTCAGGTCTTTGATCGGTCAATTTCGAGTGTTTAACAATCTGCATGCCTAAAGGCTAGAGATTATTTTTTGCTTCGTTCTTACTTATTTTTCGGATAAAACCAAAACAGAAAAGGCACGACCTTTCTATTTAAATAACCTTTCCTTTAAAAGATGCCTTTTGGGTTAGAGACTCCCGGCCAGAGCTCTATAAATACCCTCTCGGTCTGATGTTTTGGGACATCCGAAATTCATAAAACAATTCCTCCATATTCTCTCTTGCTTTGTTGCATCTTTGAGTTCGCCAAACTCCCGTTGGGAACGAAGAACTGCTCTATCATGGGAGACGTTTGCTAAGGGAGTGTTTGCGATTGCTTGTGCTTTTTAAAAGTGATTTTTTTTAGAGATTATTGGAAAAGTGATTTGTAGTAAAAGTAGGTAGTGTTTGGAAATAGAAGTGATTTTAGTTAAAATGTAAAAGTTGGAGTGTTTGATAAAAAAAGTGATTTTTGATGCAGTTTTTTTGTAAAGTACAAAACTGCCCTTTTCCTTTAATATTTTAGTGTTGGCAGACTGTCCCTTTCCCTCATCGATCACTCCTTCCCTGCGATAACCAGTAGTGCCGCATCGAAGCAGAAGAAAAGAAATCCGCAGAATCAATGGCTATTCATGGATACTCTAGACTAGAAGAACTTCAATCGGCTCTAATCCATGGTTATTCGCCGGAGTTCCTCTCAACAAAAGCAATCCGCAGAATCAACCGGCCACAACCTTGGAGATCGCCGCAGCAGCCGCACCGCAGCTCTTGGACGTCACCTTCTCCGTCACCACCGCCGTCGCCGTCGCCATCTCGGTGGTGAGCCGACTTCTTGACGTCTTTGGAATGAGTGAGCTCCATGGATCTAGATTTCTTCCCATGGAATATATATATATATATATATATATCATAATATTTATGTGTATGTGTGTGGGGAAGGGAAAGATGAAGGGAAGGGAAAGATGAATTGCAGAGACCTACGTAGGATTGCTGGGGAGAGATGATGGGTATTTTGGGTTTAATTGGGTATAACATTATCTCTAAAGTTGGAGTTATTTACAATATTACCTAAAAGCACTAAAAAGCATCACTTGGGTAGCTTTTAGATTTTGGCTTAAAAGCACTTAAAAAAACAGAATCTGAGGTTTGCAAACACCATTTTTAACTTTTCCAAAGCTAAAAGCTCCAAAGTGCTTAAAAAAAGCAAATGCAAACACTGCTTAAGTGTGTCGGACAAAAACGGCTTGAGGAAATAACGTTTATGATGGGCTCAATTGTAAGTAATTTCAAATATTTCCTTAACTAATTATTTGTTCTTTTCATTTACATGCACAATTTTAGTACACATGTAACAGTTACCACATATGGACTTGGAGGACCATTCCTGTTAGTCCGGTCTGATCGGAACCACCATCCTGCCGCCTCAATTTGAAGTACTTTTGTGTGGAATTTTTTAATGAAATTTTGTGAGCATGTTCTTCATTAAAATGTCAATCGGGAAGTCATTAAATAAATTATTGAAAAAATGTGTCAAAAGAGGTATTAAAACGCAGTGTTTTTAGAGAAAATTTGTTAAATATGATTAAAACATAAGTAAAGTGTATAAATGGGACAATAATTTATTTTCTTCTTAAAAGAGTTATCATTCTTTTTTAAAACCCAGTAGGCAAACCACCCAATCAATGAGATAACTGCTAAGGAACATTAACCAAGATTTTATTAAAAATATAAAAGGTCACAAAAGAAGAGGGGAACCAAACCATTGAACCAATACCTCTTCGAAAATGACATACCATCTCGAAATATAAAGTGAAGGAAATTTAATGATAAAAAAGCTGAAGTAAATAAATACTTTAAAGCAATCTGATAAAAGCAAAAAAAGACAGCTACCTTAGTGACAAATGTAAAAAACACCATCCTCATCTAGTTTTAGAAACTGAAGCATCAAATTGGAATAAGATTAAAGAAATCCTTTCTTAAGAATATACTCCGTAATACCGTTGCTCCTATTTATTCATTTTTTCTACATAAAATTATCTTTGTCTCTTAAACTTTGTCAAGTTTGACTAGCACAAAAATAGTTTTGTTTGTTAAAAACTAAAAGAGTTCTTCGGAAATCTTACATTTCAAATCTCTTTTTGTTTGTCATTGACTCATTTCCTTGTTTCGTTAACAAGATATATACAATATTTTTAAAATACTAGTTTCCACGATTCAACAATTTTAGTAACTTCATCATCAATATGAATCACAAGTTCGGCTAAATTGACACATTTTAATGGCTAAATACAAAACTTTTCTCTTCATAAAATTCACAATAGATCGAGTCATTTTAGCCGGATAGCCCGTGTCCAACTATTCTAACTGTCTTCAAGTTTCTTAAATTTTCTTTTGTTTGCCCTTGGTGAAGAAAGTTTTAGACAAGTCCGTTGTTTGGAGCAAAGGAGCTGGGGAGCTCTCCAACCGTGATTTATGTGGGACAAGTATCATTTGAGGGCTCTCCAGCTTCATGAAAGACTATATGAATTGCAATTCAATTCCAAAAGATTCTCATGATAAAAGCCTCTATAGCATATATTATATATACAGTTAATGCTTCCAAAATAGTGTCTATAGTAGTAGCAGACCAGAGAGAACTATATGTTCAGCTTGAAGCACTAAACAAAAAGCAATAGCACATGTAAAAAGGAATGCAAGAAGCATTAGAAACTTGTCATCAGGCCTAAGTTGGGACTCTGAAACTCTCCGCTCCGAGATATCGCATCTGGCTCCTTCCAAAGACAGCCCAAAGCCAAAACTGTTGTTTCAACCGTTTCAGCTTTTTTGCAAGCTTATACTTCAGAAACTCCAACAGTGCTGATATCAGTTTTGTATTTGACCTAATGGGAATCTCACTATATTCTAATATCCATGTATTTGGATCCAGTTGAACTGCTGAAGAGCTCCATCCCCCTTGTGTCCATGAACTGTTAACTCTTCGAATCGAATATCCCAACTCTCCATTCTTCCACTGATTTTCAAGCAGAATATCAAAATTATAGATTTAGTGTGAAGGAAAAAAAAAAATTTAAGTAGAAGATACAAGGGTATGCATGAACCTCACAAAATCATAGGGAAAAGGAAAATAGAGTCAAGGGTAGTTTCTTCTTATTTTTGTGGCTTTACAATTAAAAACTAGGACTTCATAAAAAAAAATTGCCAAACCAAAACCAATTTACCAATGACATTTTATGAACAAAACCAATCTTACCATAAGTAGTTTGTTTGCAGGTTTGGGGTTAGACATTGAAAATCAACCAAACTGACATAAACCAAACGAAGTCGACTCAAAACCGCAACCTAAGCAAAAGCGACTGAACTGAAAAAAATCCTACATAAACCAAATGAAGTCCAGCAAAAATGACTTATTAATGTTATATAATAAGAGCAAAACGGACCCAATACAACCAACCAAACTAAAATCCAACCGACAAACACCTTGAAAAGTTGAACATTACTAGTTTTCATATACTCCTTAATAGAGATATATAAATAAATAAATGAGTATGAACAAATATCTGCAGTGAATTTATTGAGTTTATCCTATATTTCCTTCTAATTTTTCGATTAATTTTCGACTTTAATTTATTTCCTTTGTATTTCAGGACTTCCAGTGGACCCATAAGATCATTTAAGTATGATATCGCACCTCTGTAAATCTCCCTGATAAGAGGGTAAATGATCTCGAACAGTATCCTGCACTAAGCAATCCAGCAGTTTGGAGAGGCCATCCCCAAATGCTCACCTCCTCTGTAAGAGATTTGTAAAAGGTGCATCTTGAATTCAAAAGAAACCCATCCTAGAAAACCCATTGTTATTATTACTAGTCAAAAACAACTCAAACAAATGATATGGAGTATTTAAAAACTAAGCTAAAAATATAAGATCTGCTAATGTTTTATTAAGGAGGGAACACAAAAATGGCAGACCTGATCAACTTTCCACAATGAATTATCAGAGCTGCAATTTGACACCTCTTCACCAACATATCTTTGCAGTTCATTCCTAAAAAAAACCAATCTTTCATTCAAACCATTCAAAGCCCGGGATTTTTCTCCCAAACTCTTCACTGTTTCTGAGGACAATTCAGGACCCATAATCCCAGAAAGAATCGGAGATAACCCAAACTCAAACCACAAAATTAATACCAATCCAAGCAGTACCCTTGTAATCAGAACCCCAAACCCTAATCTCTTTGCCTTCGTTTTCTTCTTATCATGAAATCTCAATTCGGACTCCGAATCCAATTCTGGGAAAATTGAAGTGGACTTACTTGAACCGGAATCTGGAGTTGAATGGCTGGAAGAGTTGAACATTATAGGGCTTCTAGGAAGCTCACGGCGCCCTGTGGCGGAGTGGCGGCGCTTCATGGCGGAGAGCTTGGTAAGAGTGCTCCTCTGGACGCTCTCTGGCATAAGATCAAAGGCAGCGTTCATACTGGCAATGCAAATTTGGCAGTTGCAATTGGCGTCTTTTTGGCAGCCCGGAAAATAACAGTTGCTGGATTCGGAGGGGGTGGATGACGATTTGGATGAAGAGATCGGTGTTGTTGTAGCTAGGGTTTTCATGATTTTTTCCTTTTAATCTAAAGCAGCGGAGCTCTCAAAGGTCTCAGCTTCTGCCTCTTCGATACTCTGCTCAGTTGTTGGAGAAGATGATTTATGAGTGTTGAAATTTGAAACCAACGGTCTTATGTCCTATGAATTCGATTTCATCATGTATGTGCGCTGCAACTTTTATTTATTTTCCATTTTAAGTTTGTTCTCTGTTTTATGGAAATTTCCTTTTTGTTTTTTGAAGCTTTTTGGATTTGGCTATAAAGGTTAAAGTCGACCAATTGTGGTATTGCCCCATAAAAAGATTCTCAATTTTCATTTATGCATGTCCCTAAATAAAGTCTCACCTCCCTAGTGATAAATAAATTTATACTCCGTATTAATTTTCTATACTATCGCTAAATAATCATGATAACAAAGTCCAAAACACTGAACTACACAATAAAATATATCTCTCCGAAAAATGGGATTTTAGTAGTAAGTCAAAGGAAAAAAATGCTATGTATTTCACAATTCAATATAGTAAAATTAAATAGTGGCTGAGGAGTACTAACTTTAAGAAAATATTAATACTCTATGAAAAAGTTTAGGGAAAATTCTCGAAACAGGATTAAAAACATTTGAGAATTTCAAAATATGTGTGTCATGTTTTTACTCCTTAAATAAGAGTAATACTTTCAAACTTGAAAAGTACTGTCATGTTTCAAATTTGGCACTGTCCAAACATGACAATAATTACTCCTATTTAGAGAATAAAAATATGATAATCCTATTTTGGAATATACAAACATATTTACTCATTTTTAGAGAAGTTTTCCAAAGTTATATACAAATTGACCGAGCTAGTCAAATACGGAGTATTTATTTGTTAGATCCGAATTTGATAATTTAATTATTGATTTGCATTTGTACTTCTTTAGAATTCGTATTTGACTTGGTTATTTATTGTAATTTATTTGAATATAATCGATGTTATTTGATAAAATTCCAATATTCATATTCTTATATGTGAGGACTTATTTCTTCTTACGTAGTATTATACACACACATTGCAATTTTGATTTTATGTATCTTAGTTTTTTATGTGGTTTTTCACTATGGATAACCAATGGTTTTTGTTTAACTATAAGTTCCATTGTTATAACAGTACATGAGCTGACCCTAGAGAAATCCTAGACAGTGAGCTCCTGAACAATCTAATCTTCTAGCGTTAGCGTCTTCTTTCAGATTGGCAAGAGTTTTGATGATTGCGATGTTCTATGAACAGTAATGAACCACAGATTTTTCTATGCATTCTTTTCCCCCCCATCTTCTAGGGTTGTTTTGGTCTGACATCTTCTTTGGTCGAGAGTTATGTCCGCTTCATGTGAGCGTGTGTTTTGTTCTTCTCCTTGCAATGTCTAGAGTGTGTGTCTTCATCGTCGGTGTAACCAATCAAGTGGTTCATTATTATTCATGATCGACAAGACAAGTTCAACCTAGTTCTTTCGAAGCTTCAATTACTCGCCCTCCTCCTGAAACACCACTACACTCGAAGAAAAAGATAGCACGCAAATAGATATCCTTTTCGGTGGTTGGTCAAACTGATGATCCAGACAATTTATACTCAATTGAGTTTCCTTTGTTG